GAGGGCCAGGGGCTGGACACACACTGTTTGGGGAGGGCCCAGAAGAGAGTGGGGCTAGGAAGGGGCAGGGAAGGGCCCGGGCCTTCCTCAAGTTGTCCTCCCAGCATAAGGATGGGACTGCTTGCCCCATCCTTATGCAAGGAGGAAGGCGGGACATACAGTGACTGCCATGATCTTCCCTTCTGATCCTCCTCCCCCAATCCTTGGGCTGTCCTCTTGGAATTATGCTGGGAGGAGGGTGAGACAGCCAGCAACTGAGAGTGCTCTAGTGGGCTTTCACCCACCGTGTGCCTTCTTTGGGGTTGCACCGTCCTTATGCCAGGAGGAGGGCAAGACACACGGCTGAGAGTGCTTCAGAGGGCTCTCAGCTGCTATCTGCCTTCCTCCCCCATCTTTCTGGCATAAGGACACAGCAAGCCACCATGTCCTTCTGCTAAGAGGATAGGAAAAATGGGGTAAGCACCCAGGGGCCCCCATCCGGCTCCTGGGCTTTAGTTTGCCCATGCCTGGTATAGCTCTTCTGCTTAACATGCTATAGTGTTTTATTTTGGATCAAGAAGTGTTCATCCCTATGATTCCTCACTCTCCTGTCTTAAAGTTTCACAAAGCAGACATAGATCTGCAAACTCTAGGAGGGGCAATGGGAAAGTGAAGTTGGCAAGACCATTTTGGGGGCAAGGGACAAACTACAGCAGCATTATCTGTGAGCATTTTTCTCCCTTCACTTTGAATGTAATGCATACCATAGACAATTATCAGAAGGAAACCCCTGCTGTTTTCGGGTATTATTAATGTGTATTGGGGGAACGCAGGAGAGGAACGCTCCAGCCCTTTCTATGTATCATAATTAAAAACACTAAAACATGTGTTTGGGACTTATGGTGTCCAGAGGTTTATATCTAAGGAACAATCGCATTCCTTTCTGATGATGAGCTGCTATTACACTTAACTGCCTTTGAAAGATATACATGTTGCTTGCTTTATTGTCCGGTGTGTGTTTTGCCCTGGTGGAAAAAGCACTAGACTGAGATGGGGTTAAAGGACCTGCTGCTGCTGCCGATGTTATGCCTACATATAGCGTATACATTGTTTGCCTCCCGCTTTCTCTCTCCCTCTCGCCTCCCCCACCCTCCCTCCCCTCCCTCCTCAGTATTAGCAATCTGCTTTGGTACTTTGACATCAGGGATTTCCCTGGTGAATTTTGTCACAGAAAAAAGAGAATCATCAATATCGCAGTTAAACTTGACTTTCAAAGCTAATAGTATCTCATTTGGGGGCTCAAATTTAATAAATTTTCTTTGATTCTGGGTGCGTTTTTAAACATCAAACAATGAATTGGCCAGGGTGCAGTAAAATATTTAGATCTATTGACTATGGTTCAGAAGGGTAGAAGGCAAAACACTAGTGGTTTGATGTTGATAAAATTCTTAGTACCTTAATCCACATTAATGTTTTTCTTTTTATCTGTGTGCATATGGGCTACAATGAAGGACGGGAAAAGTTAGCATATATAAACTATAACAAATCAAGTGAAATATGTATTATTGTAGATATAGTGAAAAATAGCACGTTTGTATTACGATAGGCAAGATTAACATCTGAACAGAATTACACATGCTGGCAGGAGACCCTTGAGATTGCGTTTGTTCCACTGGACTCTCTCTCTCTCTTTCTCTCTCTTCAGCCCAGAACAGTGTGTGTCGAAACGTGTGTAGGACGTGTGCTGTTATAAAAATTGCATTATAGTGCATACGTTTGGCAGCCACAGGTATTGACAGGAATTGTTTAGGTCAACCAAGAAAATGCAAGGCTCCCTATCCACACAGACTATGTGATATACAATGTGTGTTTACACCCAGTGCTATAAACCTGTAAAAACTCACTTAACACTTGCACATCACAGTACAGAATGCATATATGTGTATTTTCATAGTGTGTATCTGTAGTACTGGATGTGGAGGATATCTATTGAAACCGCTAGTGGAATGATTAACTTTTGAAATATTACAGGGTTTGTGAGTAAAATATTCAGAAGAGTAATTCACTAAATGTAAGGCTTAGACTAAAATATAGTTATCTGGGGACAGAGAAAAGAAATATCACTTAAATTGGGTTTCAGGATATGATTTATGCTGGTATTATTTTTTATGGAAATTGCCCTAAGTTCATTAGTACTAGGCTATGTATACATAGAGCTATTGAGATGTGTTGTATGTGGCATTGCCCCTTTTTTCTGCTTTCTCCTTTGAAAGTTAAATGTTTATTAGGGAAAAAGTAATGTCCTACAACTCAACTATTTTCATTTGAAAGATACTTTATTAATGTTATTACATATTGGAGACAAAAGGTTATGCAGTCTAGTTTTACTGCTGGAGTTTTATTTCTTGCACTATAAAAAAGTAGAATATTCGTAAAATGTGTTGTAATTGACCTCATCTAGGGTGAATTTTAGGAATAGATATAAATAGTAGTCATAGTAGAAACAATGTACTGTATGTGATAACTTTTTGCTGATGATGACTGAAAATACAGTGTGACTCTGTATGCTTGCAGGGAAATAAATTACACTGTCTGCTTTCAGATGTCATGACAAACCATGTCTTGCAATTAAAGGAATAGGTGACCCTCATTTGCTCCCCTTTTTCCCGCCTTCTTATGGCATTTCCTGGGGGATCTTGGAAAAATTAGTTCACATTTTAAATTAATTCCAGCATGCTATTTCTTTCATACTGAACAAAGTCTAGTTATGTTTTACCTTTGAAACAAGCCAGTTTCAGATTGTGAGTTATTGATCTATTGTGTTACAATAAACTATAGTGAATGTGAAAGACTTTGATCTAAACCACTATAATACTCAGCTAGAATATTCTGGACACGGGAGTCTACAAAAAGTAATTATTGTTAATTATTGTTAATTAAAAAGGGATGCATTCTCCCATAGACATGCTGGTGGAAGAAGCAGAGACGCCAGGAGTTCAAGACTTGTTTAGGTTTACTACTGTGGTATTAAACTTACAGTTTATTGTGATGTTTGATAGCATCTAATTGGACTTACACTGTACTTCATCTAGGATTGCAGGTAAAGGTAAAGGTTTTCCCTGACATTAAGTCTAGTCATGTCCGACTCTGGGGGTTGGTGCTCATCTCCATTTCTAGGCTGAAGAGCCAGCGTTGTCTGTAGACACCTCCAAGGTCATGTGGCCAGCATGACTTCATGGAGTGCTGTTACCTTCCTGCTGAAGCGTTACCTATTGATCTACTCACATTTGCATGTTTTCAAACTGCTAGGTTGGCAGATGCTGGGGCTAACAGCAGGAACTCATGCTGCTCCCTGGATTCGAACCAGTGACCTTTCAGTCAGCAAGTTCAGCAGCTCAGCGCTTTAATCCACTGCACCACCGGGGGCTCTAGGATTAATTCCAGCATGGTATTTCTTTCATACTGGACAAAGTCTAATTAAGTTTTAACTTTGAAACAAGACATCTTGTGACGCCATCTTGTGTGACCGTGGAGCACAACAAACAACTCCGCGCACGTATGCTTGTGCACAATGCCCAGCCTTGTGCACAGAGGATGTATTGTTTAAAGGTACAGACAATGCGGTCCCTGTTGCCCGTTTTTGGTCAAAAATTATTTAGCAGCATATGATCCCTTTATTTTATCAGTTTTAATACTTATTTATGCAATGTTTTTGACACAAAATAAATAAAATGTGACTCTAACATGGGCACAGGAACTGGTGATTAAAAAAAAAATCTGCCAAAGCAGTTGTATAGATTTCAGCATCCCATATCTGTAATTCCAAAATCCAAAATATTCCAAAATCTAAAAATGATCCATATGGGTGGCTGAGATACTGATGCCTTAGCTTTATGATAATTCGGTGTATACAAACTTTGTTTCATGGGCAAAATTATTAAAATACTCTGTATAAAATAACTTTCAAGCTATCTTTATAAGATGTACTTGATGCTTAAATGAATTTTGTGTTTAGACTTGGGTGTCATCTCCAGGATACCTCATTGTATTTGTGTGTGTGTGTGTGTGAATGAATGAATATACAGGGATTCTAAAATCTTGGGGGAGGAGCAATCCCAAATGCTTTTGGTCCCAAACATTTCAGATAAGGGATACTCAACCTACTTCATACCTTCACTGAAGACATGACTAAAGTGAAGGTATTTCTCACCTTAACAGAAGGTGGCAGTACAATACCAACTGCATAAGATTATATTTCTCTACATAACTATGGATATCTTTCATTTAGAGTGTTGAGCATTTTGTTGTTCTTTTTTAAAACTCTGCTTTTTGGATGGCTTTAAATCCAAAATACTTGTGCTTTGGAAAATAATACTGATTTCGTTCAGCGCTGCTTATTTGTTCAGGAGGTCTACTATTCATTTATTTGACATTTGGAACTAGCCGCCTTCTAGGCTCCTATAATACCTTTGATAATCTCAGGCAATTTACATTTTCAGTATATTGCCATTGCCAAATATAGTTTTGCATCCTAATTGACTATTTCAAAAACAAGCAAAACCAAGCTTTTAAATAAGACTTTCAGATAAAATTAGTATAAGTAAACTTTTTTTGGGTTGGGGGAGGGTTATGTGTTTACTTCCTCACTGTGTAGGTGACACATCTTTCTTTTGTCAAATTATTGCTATATGTATATTGCGCTTGATGTGTGGGGTAATTCCAATTTTTAAATTATTTAGTATGTGTGTGTTTGTGGCATTCAGTGCACATACCTTTAGTGACTTTCCTTCCCTTCTCATTTCAGTCCAGAGGGGAGGATGCTTTTTCTTCTTAACATTCTCCCCCTGCACTCTGAATTAGAGATTTATTTGCAACGAAAAATCAATTAGTCCTAAATTTATTCATGGATTTCAGGTCCAGCGATCAATGCAAGTCCACTCAGTGGACTCAAGGGGACCCACTTCATCCCAGTTAATGTGTCTGAAGGGGAATTACCATTGATACTGTTTTTTCCCTTTTAGGTCAGAGATCAGATCTCGCTGTCACGGACTGCGGCAACCAGGAATGACTTCACCCTGCAGCTACCAAAGCTGCACCTGGAGACCTTTGCAATGGAAGGGCTGAAGGGCGGTCCAGAGGTTGTAGCATTCCAGGTTAGATGCTTAAATACCCTTTCTTTACAACCAAAATGTTTAAAGACATATACACTGACACAAAGTGCTGAAAATAAAACATGTACATAACGGAGTGGTTAGCAATTTCTAAAAAAAGGTGCTTGAACAAAATCACAACAGTGTTCTAACTATCGAATGTTAAGGAAGCAGGAAGATTACTTTGGAAAGAAGTTTATGCATTGTACGTATGAAGAGCAATGTGAACCAGCAAACTTCTTTTTTTTAAAAAGCAATCCAGATCAACCTAGAATTGCTTTTCTTCCAGCAGTGTTTTCAAAGAGGATAAAAAAGGAAAGAAAAATGAAGTAGCTGTCCCTAGATCAATATTTAAGGATGTCATCAATGTTGGGGTCACACAAGAGAAAAGGATTCAGAGTGCAGAGCATCGGAGTTACTTGTTTTCACACCAGCTGGAGTTGTTTGTGTGCTGGGAAAAGATTCTAGGGCTATTGATCTTTTTAGTCCTTACTGACTGACACTTTCTGGCACTGACGATGATGGAAAGTACCCTGACAAGTGAAATGGACAATGAATATAGTTGTCAAGGTATCTAAATCAGAAAACTGTGCTCCTATCTTTGAGTGAAAGTCCCTGTTCCTGTTACTTTATTTCTGCCAAATGTTTTTTCCCCATTGATTTGTGAAAGGATCTTGCATGCACACAGAAATGAAAACAATATTAATGCTTGAACTTTTGACCATTGGCATAAGTGCCATCTCGTAAGTATATCATGTGGTTATTGTAGACCAGGGGTCCTCAAACTTTTTAGAGGTCCAGGTCATAGTCCCTCAAACTGTTGGAGGGCCGGATTATAATTTGAAAAACACATGGATGAAGTCCTATGCACACTGCACATATCTTATTTGTAGTGCAAAAAATACTTAAAAACAATACAATAATTAAAATGAAGAACAATTTTAACAAATATAAACTTATTAGTATTTCTATGGGAAGTGTGGACTGCTTTTGGCAGATGAGATAGGATTGTTGTTGTTCTTGTTGTGTGCTTTCAAGTCATTTCAGACTTAGATTGACCCTGAGAGAGGGCTGGGTAAATGACGTTGGAGGGCCGTATCTGGCCCCTGGGCCTTAGTTTGAGGACCCTGTTGTAGACTCTACACTGGGCCTGGGCAAACCTTGACCTTCCAGGTGTTTAGGACTTCCAACTTCCACAATTCCTAATAGCCTACCAGCAGTTAGGAATTGTGGGAATTGAAATCCAAAACATCTGGAAAGCCGAAGTTTGCCCATGTCTGCTCTACACCGTAGGAAAAAAACAAGGTGCAAATATATCCCGGAAGAATAATGAGCATAGTTGGGACATTGCCCTCAAGAGTCCCTTGTGTTAGAGGACTTTTACTTGATATCAAAATGCACAACTGGTTATAATGTGGATTCGGAACCAAGCCCTGTGTAACATCAACATATCAATAATTCAATCTCACATATGGTAACAGCTGACTGAGTTATCGGACTGCAAATTCAAAATTCCCCTTCCCAATGGCAATCCAAGGATTATGTAGGATGCTACCAAAACTGAAATACAGTGCCGTAATTGTGAATAGGACCCTGGGACATGTAGGTAGTGAGGCAACCTGAACTGCTTTTAGCGTTCTTTAAAAGAATTCTGGAATGACAAATCCTTCAACATCTTATCTTATTTTTTGTTAGAGAAGGATTCCCATTTTTTGTACGTGCTACTAAAGACTTAGGTTCTTTTTTGGTAATAGACTGCATGGGATTTCTACCATTTGTTCTGATTTGCAGCAGCTGATCTAAAGATAACAACCCTGGGGTGAATGGCATGTCCATATTGCATGCTGCATGAGATGTATCAGATTTCTTTTTGAGATGACATAAAATATTTTGTCCCTGTCACTTCTGGGATTTTCCAGATGTCTGTGTCCTAGAGTGTTAAAAACTGAAACCAGTAATCCAAGCACAGCAATTTGAAAGTAAGTGGAACTGATTTCCCTGGGTTGTATTCTCAAGTGGGCATATGATTGACACCAAAATGGTATCAACCAGAGGGAGGGATCATTAAAATGCTGTACATATGTATTTTGTTAACCTATAATCAACATATTGTGCAAGTATTGTCTTCTCTGTGTTAGAAAGCTATTTCATTGTGTAGAAAGTATTGACCTCCTTTTGGGAATTAAACAAAGGGAATAATAATTAATATTATCATGGTTTTATTTTCATGTTTAGAAATGGCTCATTCACACAAAAACAAATCACCCTACTCTATCTATCTATCTATCTATCTATCTATCTATCTATCTATCTATCTATATATATATATATATATATATAGTTTTTTCATTTATTACAAAGTAAAGTAAGTGCTCTTTGGTGCTAAAGCAGGCTCCAGTATATCCTGTTGTTGTTGTTGTTGTTGTTGTTGTTGTATTAAATCATTTCTGATTTATGGTGACTCTAAGATAGGCCTGTCACAGAGTTTTCTGGGCAAGGTTTGTTCAGAAATGTTTTGCTATTACCCTCCTTTTAAGTGGTGAGAATTTGAAATGCTCAAAGTCACCCAGGGGGTTTCCATGGCCAAGCAGGAATTTGAACACAGGTTTCCAGAGTCACAGTCAAATGCATAAGCCATTATGGCACCCTGGGCCCTTCCAGACAGGTCCTATATCCCAGGATCTGACCCCAGGTTTTCGGCTTTAAACTGGATTATATGAGTCCGCACTGCCAGATAATCTGGTGCAAACAGAAAATCTGGGATAAGGACCTGGGATATAGGGCCTTTCTGGAAATGCCCCAACTCTCAAAATCAGGTAAAGGTCACAATTCTTTCATTTTCCTTTTGGCTCTTATTTCTCCCTCTAACTCACATGGAGAACTCAATTGTTCTCCAAACAATTAATTGCTGTTGTAGTTTCACAGCATTAATTTATATTGTCCCCGGCATTTTCTTCTACTCTCCTATAGTTTTATTTTACTGTAACATCTAGGTGGGAGAACTTTTGGTTCTCCAAACCAGGTGGGAGTCCAATTCCCATCAGCCCATGCCAGTGTAAATCAGGGATGGCGAAAATTGTGATACTACAATTCCTAAAGGGCCACACGTTCCTTTACTTTAGTGTAATTATGCAACAAACATATTAGCAATGTATAGATGGGAATAAGATCCATTTTTGAAGTCTGGATTCAAGAGAGATAGGGAGCGCTTTTAGTCTGCATGTAATGGAGTCCACTGGTTTATATGATTGATCAAATGGTTCTAATTTATTTTATAGGTCATATGATCCTTCGTGTGAAGGGGTTGTAATTAGGTTGCATTTTTAATTTTAAACCCCCCCTGCATTCCCAGCTTTAAATAGCATAAATATTAAGTGTTATTTTTATTTGGCTAAGGATGCATCTAAACAGTAAAATGAATTCAGCTTGACACCACTTTAACGGCCATGACTCAATGCTATGGAATCTTGGGATATATTGTTTTGGTGAGGCACCACCACTCTTCGGTATCAAGCCACAACTCCCATTGCATTAATTCTATGGTGTAGCTGCACCCTAAGAAAAATTGTTCTGCATTGTAATATACACTCTTACACCACGATTTACACGAGTTTCACATTTCTGCAGGTTATTTACTTCCGTAAGTCAGACCCAAGATAACTAAAGACCTAAACTACACACACATTCATTATTCATACTCATGTTCTATGAAAGCAGAACTTTATAAGAGTTTTTGAAGACTTATAGCTGGAGAGCTTAAGCAATCCCTTGTAGCTTGAGGAAGATTTTCTTCCAGATGTGGTGCCTTGGCGGTGGTTCCGTAGGTATCTGTGGAGCCCTACTCTTCATCCGCATCTTCTCCCACAGTGAGGACATCCAGGTTTCCAGGTGGAAGGCGGTCCCAGTCAGGGTTGGCTTGATGCGCCTTCCTCTTGGTATGTTTCTCTCTTTTGCCCTCTGTTCGTGCCTCTTTGAATTCCGCAGCACTGCTGGTTACAGCTGACCTTCAGTTAGAGCTCTCAAGGGCCAGAGCTTCCCAGTTCTCGGTATCTATGCCACAGTTTTTAAGGTTGCTGGAGAGCATGCACTTCTCATTAAAGACATTATCCCATGAGGGGGAGAAAGCATCATCTTCCTGTGGTGTTTTGTCCCATTTTGTTTAAAATCACATGGTGTCATTTCTCAGGTCCCATCACATATAGTTCTTTCTTGCCTTTTCTCCCAAAATCATCAGTTTTCAGATAAGGAGCCCCTGGTGGCGCAGTGGGTTAAACCCCTGTGCCAGCAGGACTGAAGACAGACAGGTTGCAGGTTCGAATCCAGGGAGAGGCGGATGAACTCCCTCTATCAGCTCCAGCTCTTCATGCGGGGACATGAGAGAAGCCTCCTACAAGGATGATAAAAACATCAAATCATCTGGGCGTCCCCTGGGCAACGTCCTTGCAGATGGCCAATTCTCTCACACCAGAAGCGACTTGCAGTTTCTCAAGTCGCTCCTGACACAACAACAACAACAAAACAAGTTTTCAGATTTATCACACGCCCACTCCATTAAAAAAACACCTTGAAAAAAAACCTTTGGGATACTTGACTTTCCTCTCCAATCCCACTACTTTCTAGCAGACAGGAGGCACCCTTCTTAAGTAAGAGCCTCTTTCTCTGGGCTCCTTTCTTTTCCTTCCAATCTCATTCCTCTAATTGGAGAAACTCAAAACTTAAAAAGCTAACAGCAGTAGTGCCATTTCGAAAGCCAAGATTACTATGAAGAAGAAATGACCGGAATAACAAAGTGATGATATCTTGAAATTTCAGTATTTCTCATCATTAAATTAATTTTTTAATTACTATGCCAGGCTCATGAAGCAGGACTTTGGGAGAGAAATGTCAATGCTTGGCAGAAGACCGCCCATAGAAACACCCATTACTCCATGTCACTGTAGCGATTCAATATGGGCAAATTTGACAGATCCCACCCCATAAGGTGACTGCCTGAAATATAACTA